CCTTAGCCAGTTGAGCTATAGGCGCCGAGCCAACTCTTTTTTTTTTAAAGTCAATTATTTTTTTTTAATTTTTTAAAATTATCATTATTTATTATTATTATTTTTTGAGACAGATCCTCAAGCTGTCCCCCCGGGCAGAGTGCCGTGGCCTCACAGCTCACAGCTCACAGCAACCTCCAACTGCTGGGCTCAAGCGAGTCTCCTGCCTCCGCCTCCCAAGTAGCTGGTGCCCACCAACGCCCGGCTATTTTTTGTTGCAGTTTGGCTGGGGCTGGGGCTGGGTTCAAACCTGCAACCCTTGGTATATGGGGCTGGTGCCCTACTCACTGAGCCACAGGTGCTGCCCCAGCAACCTCTAACTCTTAGGCTCAAGTGATTCTCTTGCCTCAGTCTTCTGAGTAGCTGGGACTACAGGTGCCCACCACAAGGCCTGGCTTTTTTTTTTTTTAGAGCAGGGTCTCGCTCTTGCTCAGGCTGGTCTCGAACTCATGAGCTCAGGCAATCCACCTGCCTTGCCCTCTCAAGTGCTGGGATTACAAGCGTGAGCCACCGCACCAGCTAGTTTAAGGTTTTCAAAGAATACCAGAGCGGGACAGTGGTTACAACAGGAAAACAGATTTTACTGAGGACTATTGTTATAGGGGAAAGACCTCAGTGCAGACCCAGACTCAGCTTAGCACTCAGTGGGGGCAAGTGGGAACTTACACAGTGGGGGAGGGGGTGGGTGGGGAGGTGTGGTGGAAAGGAACTGGGGGGAAATGCCAGAGGTGAGGGGCTTCTGGGTGGGCCCACCTAACAGGATTCTGCCTGCAGACAGGCTGTGAGCAGACATGGCCTGGGATGGTGGGCACGGTGTCCAGCAGGATGGTCTCTTAACCTCCCCCTGCAGACAATCGGAGTCTCCCCCTCACCAGGAAAGACTGAGTTCTTTCCTCTCTACAAGTCTGTTGGGTGGGAAAAGTGAAGAAATCTTGGGAAACAGAGAAGACAGGCTGGTGCTACCTTTCTCAATGTTCTCGTTCAGGTGGCAGTTCCTCTTGGTGTCTGAGCCAATAACCTTGTTGTCCTCATCAACGAGTATCAGCATCTCATCCAGGCGCTGTCGCTGGCGGTCATCGACCCAGTCAAGGTTTACTTCCGACATCGCTGCTGGCTGTGGTCTGACGTGAAACAGGTACACAAAACGTCATCTCTGTGTGGAAGATGGGACCAGCCAGGTTCTGCTGGCCACGTCAGGATTCAGCATATACCTGTCTGTGTACGTGGTACCACCTCACCAGGTGTGTTTCCACTGTGGTGTCTGAATGAGGAATCTTGGATTTCTCTCTCCCTCTCTCTCATATATATATTCCTCATATTTCCCAGGAAATTTAAATTTATCATTTAAATTTTCCCATGAAAATTCCCACCAAAACAAACAGGAGGAAAAGATCAGGTAATGCTCTTTGAAGAAGAGTTCCGGAAAGCGCAGTGTTATGTAAAGCTGTGGGGCTTGGATCCCAGAGGAGAAGCCAACAGCTGTTCAGAGAAGCCACAGACAGCCCAGCGCCCTCCTGGAGTCAGTCTCCTATGAACAGTCTCTGAGGGGCGGCTCCTGTGGCTCAAAAGGGTAGGGCGCTGGACCCATATGCCAGAGATGGCGGGTTCAAACCCAGCCCCGGCCAAAAAAAAAAAAAAAACAGTCTCTGAGAAAATGTATTCAGAATCATTTAGTTTTATACAAAATCTTTCCATCATCATTTTCTACTTTTTATTTATTTTATTTTTTTTGAGACAGAGTCTAACTCTTTGCCGTGAGTAGAGTGCCATAGCATCACAGCTCACAGCAACCTCAAATTCTTGGGCTTGAGCAATCCTCTTGCCTCAGCCTCCCACGTAGCTGGGACTACAGGTGCCTGCCAGGACCCCCAGCTAGTTTTTCTGTTTTTAGCAGAGACATGGTCTTGATCTTGCTCTTGCTTAGGCTGGTCTTGAACTCCTGAGCTCAAATGATCCACTTCCCTCGACCTCCCAGAGTGCGAGGATTACAGATTATCTGGCCCTTTTCTACAATTTTTTTTTTGGAGACAGAGCCCTCAAGCTGTCACCCTGCGTAGAGTGCGCTGGCATCACAGCTCACAGCAACCTCCAACTCCTGGGCTCAAGCAAGTCGCCTGCCTCAGCCTCCCAAGTAGCTGGGACTACAGGCACCTGCCACAACGCCCGGCTATTTTTGGTTGCAGCCGTCATTGCTGTTTGGCAGGCCCAGGCTGGATTCGAACCCACCACCTTAGGTGTATGTGGCTGGCGCCTCAGCCACTTGAGCCAAAGGCCGCTGAGCCCCTTTTCTACTTTTTAAAGAAATGCATTCACTTCTGTTTCTTACCATTATTCTGTTATTATTTTCAGCATCTGCTTATCCTCTTGGCAAAGAGAAAATAATTGAATATGTACAAAATTTGATCAATAAAAGAATTCCCACAGGGGAAAAGATATGCACCAACTAACCTTTCCTGGAAATCGGAGGCTCCTGGGTACCCGTCGGGTGTGGGAATGAATTCTCAGGTGACTCAGCCCTTATATACCCTGGGAACACACAGGGTATATTGGGATGATCTGAAATTGTTGTTTTCGTAATAAGAAGCCACACCCTGATATTGTTCTTGCTGCGTGTCTCTCTCTGTCCCTCTCAAGTTGGACGATCATAGAAAATTATTTTGACACAGCTACACTTTAAAAAATGCTTTTACTGGCTCGGCGCCTGTGGCTCAAGTGACTAAGGCGCCAGCCACATACACCTAAGGTGTATACATACACCCGCCAAACAACAATGACGGCTGCAACCAAAAAATAGCCGGGCGTTGTGGCGGGCGCCTGTGGTCCCAGCTACTTGGGAGGCTGAGGCAAGAGACCTGCTTGAGCCCAGGAGTTGGAGGTTGCTGTGAGCTGTGAAGCCACGGCATTCTACCCAGGGGGATAGCTTGAGGCTCTGTCTCAAAAAAAAATGCTTTTACTTCTTAAACCTAAGTTAAATTATTTTCTACTGTCTAACAGTTTAGTATATGATTAAGGTGGCATTTCAAACAGCTATGGAAAAGATGAATTATTTGAAAATTAATAGTGTAACTGGTTTATTAGAAAGGAATAAAATTATATCCTTACCACTAAATCCATATTAGAGAGATCTATATGAATTTAAGATTTTATTGAAAAAACTGAAAGCATAAAAGTACTAGAAAAATATATGGATGACTACAATAGTCTATGACACCAATTCAGAGCTCTAGATGTAAAAACATGGCATATTTACATATACTAAAATAATCCTTCCCTATGTCCACAAAGCCATGATTAAAAAAAGAAAGACTATATTTATTTATTATTATTATTATTATTTTTGAGACAGAGTTTCACTTTGTTGCTCTCAGTAGAGTTTCATGATGTCACAGCTCGCAGCAACCTCAAACTCTTGGGCTCAGGTGATTCTTTTGCCTCAGCCTCCCAAGTAGCTGGGGCTATAGGTGCCTGTCACAAAGCCTGGCTATTTTTTGGTTGTAGTTGTCATCGTTGTTTGGCAGGCCTGAGCTGGATTTGAACCTGCCAGTTCCAGTGTCTGTGGCTGGCACCCTAGCCTCTGAGTTACCGGCGCCAAGCCAGAAACAGGGTCTTGATCTTGCTTAAGATGGTCTTGAACTTCTGAGTTTAATTAAAGGGATTCTTCCGCGTAGGCTTCCCAGAGTGCTATAGCTAGTGCTATATTATAAGCATGGGCCACGGTGCCGGACTAACTGCTCTGGAGTTGAGTTTGACTCTTTCTGTCTGATTGTTACTGTGAATGATGTGTGAGTAAGTGGAGTTTCTCCAGTTTAGTTTTAGAGTGTAACGAACACCTGTCCTGCTTTCCAACTAGGTGCTATCCCTCTGGCCCCAAGTCCTAGCCCAAAATGCATCCTCACAAAGCCTATTGCTCTTTTGGGGTTCGGGGCTAGATCACTGTGACCTGATTTTGCTTGAGACCAGGACAGTCCTTCCCTGAGGCATGCTTTTATTCAGAAGTTCCCCATTTGGCATCTCTTCTGTATCCCAGCTCCTGTTTCAACAGAATTTTACCCTCTGTTTCGACTTCCTTCTGCCCTGCACAGGGAAGGGGGGCAGGGAGGAGGGGCCCTTCCAAGGGGGCCATATGTACCTTGCATCTTTTCTGAAGTTTCAGAAGCAAAATGCTTATGGTTAAAGAAACATTGAAAATATCAATTTTTGTTCTGTTTAATTCTCTATTGATATTTTCTCAACTTCCATTAAAGAAGGGATGGGGAGTGTTCTTTTTTCTTGCTTACCTATCAAGCTGTGGCCATAAGCCAAGATTCACAAATGACCTGAACCATTGCTAGAAATTTTTTTTTTTTTTTGAGACGGAGCCTCAAGCTATTCCCCTGGGTAGAGTGCCATGGCATCACGCTCACAGCAACCTCCAACTCCTGGGC